AGGGACACAGCTGTCAGTCACTCAGAGAAAGGCCATCATCCATGGGAGGCCTGGCCCTACCCCATTCTGCCCTTGAGCTGAGGAAACATTTGCAGCTGTCTCTTATACACATCTAGATGTGTATAAGAGACAGGCCCGTGGCCCTCTCGAGACCCAAGGTTTGAAGCTGGAGCTGAGAACAGCAAGTATCTGTGGAGACCAGCAGTCTGCCCTCTGCAGTGGCCTAGGACGCTAGTGGACAACTACCTTTAAAAAACCACAGTAGCCTGTTCTACTGTGTTGGCTGCGGAGGCCAGGAACGCTGGTCTCTGTGTTTCTTAGAAATATCCCTGTGCAAATATCAAGGGGTCATCCTGTAGAAGGGGTCTCCATCTGGGGACTCAGGAGGGAGAGACACTGAGGGGGCAGGTCCGGCCTGGCCCAGTGGGCTGAGGGGCAGAGGGTGGGGCTGGGGCTTCACATTTCAATCTTTGGAGAGAATACTGAGAGGAGGAGGCAGGCAAGCCCTGCCGGCAGGCTGGCTGCCCCGTGTGCCCTGCCTGTGGGCACAGGTGGCAGGTGTACTCAGGGTGGGCTCAGCAGGTGGAGGTCTGCTTGCGGTAGAGCTGGATCAGGGGCACCAGGCACTCGGGTAGCCCTGTCTGCAGCAGGAAGGGGTGGTCTAGGAGCTCCTGGGCTGTGGCTCTCTCTTGGGGGTCCCGCACCAGCATCCGCTCCAGGAAGTCTCGCAGCACTGGGGAGACCTGTAGAGACAGGGCAGTGAGATTAAGCCACAATTTGCAGTCACTTTGGGGTGACCTGATTGCCTGGCCCTGTCATTGTTTGAAAATCTTGAATTCGCTGGTTTTTTAACTTCCTGTCCCCTTGCCCCTCCCCACCCCCCAAGGCTCTCAGTATTCAGATGCTATAGCTCTGTGGAAGGGGCAGAGAATTGGCATCAGTGATCCAGGCCTGGCTCTATCCCTGATCTCAGGCAAGTCACAGTTTTCTCTAGGCCTCAGTTTTCTCATCTGTAAAATGGGCTAGTGATAAAGTATGCTTGCCCTGTCTGCCACATAGGGCTTTTGAGAAGATTTTAAAAACAGGTCGTTGGGTGCAGTGGCTCATTGCCTGTAATCCCAGCACTTTGGGAGGCCAAGTTGGGCAGATCACAAGGTCAGGAGTTTGTAGACCAGCCTGACCAACATGGCAAAACCCCGTCTCTACTAAAAATGCAAAAATTAGCCGGGCGTGGTGGCACATGCCTGTATTCCCAGCTACTCAGGAGGCTGAAGCAGGAGAATTGCTTGAACCCAGGAGGCGGAGGTTGCAGTGAGCCGAGATCACACCACTGCATTCCAGCCTGAGCAACAGAGACTCCATCTCAAAAACAAAAACAAAAAACAAAAACAACAAAAACAAACAGGTCAAGGATGAGGAAGTGCTCTGAAAAACAGAAAATAAAGTGAGACCTGAAAAGGAAGATTTCTTTGTTGCTCTAGGCCTTAGAGTCTAAGGCAAGGGCTTATCTTGGTTCATTTTGAGCCAGTATCTTGGCATGAGGCTCAGTCTTGGGCAGAAGGCTACATCCTCTGAGCAATTAGCCAACTAGAGATCTTTATATGCTAATTTTGGAGTTAGCGGTGCAGGATCCAAGGAGCAGTTGTCCTGGAAGATGTTTCCTGTTGGTCCTCTCATCCAGCTTTGTGTTGGGGCCACAGAACTCTTTTTTTGCTATTTAGAGGTGAGGCTTCAGCCCCTGAGACATTTCTAGCTTTGGCCACCAGATGGCGATGCCACTTAGCAGCCTCGTGCTGACCTGCCAGCAGGGGGCGTCCACAGTAAGGCCTGCGGGGTTGGGGCAGATTTGGCAAAAAGGGTTACATGTATACACGTCCAAGAACATATACTGGCTTTAAGGGGAATGCTGTGGCTCAGCTGTGTTGGGGTGTGCAACAATGGAGCATGAGCCAACTCGCCGTGATGGACAGGGACATCGAATCATGGTATGGATCTCCCGACACTTGGGGTAGAAAGGTTTGTGCTCAGTGAAGCTTCTCTGGATTCCTTCCGGGACAGCAGGGATTGCTGGTGTCCTGGCTTTCCCTGCTCATGGGCACCCCTGGGCTTCTGACCAGTGCCTGCCGAGTAGCAACCCTCCTGCCACAGCCGTGGGAGGCGACCTGTTGAAGCGCACATGCGAACTTGTGCATAGATGCGGCTCCACACCCAGGTGCAGGTTTTGTGTGGAGAAAGAGGAGCCTTTTCCAGGAGCCCAGACCGTGTAGCTTCTGTGGGAGGGAGACGCTAGGAGCCTAGGCTCTGGTCCTCTTGCCTCAGGAGGAATGGGGTCTGCGAGGTCGCACCCTTGTGTGCCAACTGACCTTGTGAGAGTTTTTCAGCTTGGGCGGGGGGCTGTCCCGGAGCCTCTTCATGGCTTGCACTGGGGAGTCACTGAAGTAGGGTGGCTCCCCATCCACCATCTCAATCACCATGATGCCCAGAGACCAGATATCCACCTGCAGGAGGAAAATGTCCCTGACCCCATGGCCAGAGCCTGGCCTGGCCCGTTGCTAGCCGTGTTCTGGTGGTGGCAGTGGTGGAGGGGGGACAGCTGGCCCCAGCTCTCCTTGGTGAGTCTGTCTCCTTCCTCCCCTGGCCACCTGCCCCGTGGCCAGTTACTGCCTGCATGAGTGACCACTGTCTATAGGGACACAGCTGTCAGTCACTCAGAGAAAGGCCATCATCCATGGGAGGCCTGGCCCTACCCCATTCTGCCCTTGAGCTGAGGAAACATTTGCAGGACTCGTTCCTGGAGGCCCGGCCATGGGCGGGAGCAGCCCCATGGAAAGGGGGAAGAGTGTTGACTAGGTGGGACTCTGAAAACCTGGGCTGCTTTTGGTGAGGTCACCGGAGGGGCCACAGCAGAAGGGCTTTTGGGAGGTCTGGGGGGTGGAGGGAACGGTTACCTCAGTGGCATACAAAGACCTGGAGATCACTTCAGGAGCCATCCAGTAGGGGGTTCCCACCAGGGACTTCCTCTTAGGGACGTCTTTGCTGATCTGGGCACAGAATCCGAAGTCCGAGAGCTTCACCTAGGGTTGAAAGTGGAGTGAGTGGTGGACTGGGAGGAAGTGGGAGCGTGGCTATGCCGGGGACAGTATGGAACCTACCCTGCCATCCAGGGTCAGCAGGATGGAGTCACTCTTGATGTCCCGGTGGATGACACCCTGGGCATGCAGGTAAGCCAGGGCCTGCAGCACAGCCTCACACACAGTGGCGATCTGCTCTTCATTCAGCCTGGATAGGAAGGTGGGGCCGCCCGATGGAAGAGAGCGTTAGCTTTGGCAGGTTGTGGGGTGGCTGAGCAGAGTAGGGGTCCCTGGTGCTAGGCCCCATGGCTCCCAGGCAATCTGTTTGGCAGCACAGTCAGGCCATAGCCCTGGTGAAAACGGGCCTGAGCCTTGGATAGAAGCCACCCTTCTCTTCTCTATTCCCAAGACCCCTGGATGCCAGTTACCCCAGCAGGCAGGAGAGCCCAGGATGATCCAACAGGCATCCCAAGTCTTCTGGGCCACAGGCAGAAGAACACATTGCCCTGGCAGGGCCATGGTGAGGGCAGCCCGCGCTCAGGATCCAGCCCTCCCAGCTGCCCACCTGACTTGGGAGACGATGTCTGTGAGGGCTCCGCCCTGCAGGAACTCCATGAGCACCCACAGCTCCTCGCCCACTAGGTAGCTCTTGTACATCTCCACCACGTTGAAGTGCTGGTAGTCCCGCATGATCACCACCTGGGGGCAGGTGGGGGCCTGAGTGCCGGGCACAGTGCCCAGAAGCATGGCCACCCACTGCCCCTGCTCACAGATGTCCAGCCTGGCTGGCTGTTCACTGCCCATCCCCAACGCCCCCGCCCATCCTGCCCTGTCCTCCCACCTCGTTGAAGAGCAGCTCCCTGCGCTGCTGCTTCCTGAGGTCCATCATCTTGACGGCCACCTGGCGGCCCGAGTGCTTCTCCCGGGCCAAACAGACGATGCCGGTGGAGCCCTCGCCAATCTTCACGTAGCTGTCCAGCAACAGCCGGGGGTCACCCTGGTCTACCACCATCCTGAGTGCAGCCTTGAACTGCTCATGTGTCACAACACCTGTGTCCTCACCAGCCAGAGTGCCCTTGGCAACCGTGGGGTCCTGGGGCAGGTACAGGTTGCTGGTGCTGATCTGGGCGTGCCAGGTGCGGGGGGAACCTGCTGGGGAAGACCGGCCTGGAAGCGGGCCTGCGGCCGGGGCTGTGCGGAGGGACTTCTGGGGGCTGCTGGTATCCGAAGTGGTCAGAGGGCTGAAGGTCCCCACCGGCTGGTCCGAGGGCAAGGACTGGGCCTTGGCCACCAGGCTTGGAGGGTTGTCTTTCTGTGGCGGTCGGAAAGAGGAGTTGGGCTGCAGGGACAAAGCAACAGGAAGGGGCATGGCTGTGGGAGCGTTTGGAATCACCTTCCCAGAGGCAGGGACTGGCCGCCGTGACCTCTGGACTCTGGCAGGGTCAGGCAGGGTGTCAGATCAAACTAGGGAGGTGCTCTGAGCAAAGATTTTCAGACGGAGCTGAAGCCCAGCCACAGTCCTGTGTGAGCAGCCCCCCGCAGGGCGCCAAGCTGGGCAGGCCCAAGACAGCTGCTTACACTCGCCCTACTGCACCTGGGAAGACAGAGAAGGCCACCTCCCCGCGGGGTCCTGTGCTGGGTATTTCTTCCTTGGCGATTGATAGCTAGACCCCAGGGAGGCTGCTGTAAGGCAGAATCTGCCTCTGTGCTAAGAGGCTGCTTGAAGAATCTGGGTCAGAGGCATTCTTCACTCCCAAGGCTCCTCCACTGCAGAACCCATGGGGGCAGAAGAGGCCTGGCAGTGGGGTGGGGAGCAGTGGGCAGCTGTGTCTCCACTCCCCGAACCAAGGCAGGGGAGCCACACCTGGGGCCCGATAGCCCTGCTTGTGCCTGCAGCAGGTAGTCTGTGAATCTGTGCTGGGAGGTTATGTCCCTGACAGAGGACCACAGAGGTATGTCACCATCTGGGGGGTCCTCGGGTGTCTCCCCTGGGCTGGGAATCTGGTGCCAGAGAGATCTGGAGTTAGGAGGGTAGGTCCAGCCAAACCCAAGCCTTGAGGCCAGGGAGGAGGAGATGTCTTAAAGACCCCATAAAGGAATCCTTCCACTTCCTCCTTGGCATGAAACTCCTGGCTAAGGAGCCCCCGGGAGGGAGGAGAAGGTAGGGGACTATCCTCATGGGCTCTGGCGGGGAGGGAGGGAAGCTGGAGCCGAGGGGCAGCCCGGGCGCCCGGTGAGCCCTGCTCAGGCCCAGCCCTGGAAGCCTGTGGGGCTTCTTGCTTTTCTGAGCCCAAGCCCTCCTGCTCTCTCTGGCAGGAAAGGCGCCCGCCCATCTTTGGGTTCTCCCCAAGGAGCGGTGATATGCGCCATGACCCCTCCCAGGGATTATGTGTTTTTAAAGGGCACCTGGAGAGGGATGCTTCAGGGGCTGCAGAGAAGGCCTTCTAGGAACTTCTGCAAACCCATCATGTAAGCCATTGTCTTAGGTGCCCAGTGGGTCCTGGTCCTGATCCCAGAGCTGAAACAACTTATAGAAAATCTCAAGCAGTAAGTTTGGGCTGGGATGCTTGCTCAGGGACCCCAAACCCCAAATCTAGGCCTTGGGCCCCACCAGAGTCTTTTCAATGTCTTTAGCAACCCTCACTCCCTTCCTTCCCCGACTCCCCACGGCTTCAGGGCTTCCACTCTCCAGTCAAGTCCCTGGCCTGCTTAGGGTAGAACACCTACTGGCCGACAGCCACGCTGGGGCAGACTTCTGCCACCCCCACACCTGCCTGCCCACCCGAGTGTGTGCTTGACCTTCACAGGAAAGAAGCTAGAAATTCTCCCAGGACTGCCTGGACTCACTCCATCCCTAGTGAGTACATTTGGACAGTAAACATTCTCCCATGTCGTCGCCAGCACCTGTCACCATCCAGTGTGACACTGTCACCATCCACTGTGTAGTGGAGCAGTGGGACCCCTGGACTGGGCTGTCAGGACCTGGGGCCCGGCCCTGGGCTGCTGTGCCCTGCAGTGAGCCTTAGGCGAGTCATCTTCTCTGAGCCCCAGTCTCCGCTACGAGGCAGGGACATGCGCAGTGATGGGGGGAGCTAGATGAACTGCGGACTTCCCGCCTCACAGCCTGATTCAGTGGGGCCCTAGAGCAGAGACTCTGCATTTGAACAATGTCCCTGCGTCCTAGGAGGCTCATGGAACGTACTTTGAGAAGCTCTGCATGAGTGGGCAGTATGATCTTATGGCCTCAGGGAGCCTCTGGGAGGGCTGTGAGGGGGGTGGAGGGAGCATGGCCATGACTGAGGCTATGATGCCAGTTCCTGGGAACAGAGGTTCCATGAGACGTCACCAGGCAGGGACAAGCAGGGAAGTGGGGCAGGGCTCACTGCATCACACAGTCAACCTGTAGAAAGGCTCGGGGTGCTAAGGAGGCTGCCTGCTGGCCTGAGTGTGGACTTAACTCAGAAAACATGCTCTCCAGGCACCCATCCGTGTGGGTCGGGGCAGAAGCTTAGGGACCACCTAAAGCTCCTCTTGAGGTGGCTCTGATGGCCTCTGATGACCTCTCATCCTGAAGCTCCTAAGAAAGGCTCTAAAATGAGATCATTCCCCTCCTGGCCTCCAGGGCCTCTGCCTGGGCCAGCTCTACTCTGAGGATGTGTGGGCCTGGGAGCGAGAGCCACGTGGACAGGCCGAGGTGGGGGTTCCTTCCCTGTCTCCACGGGCCAGGTCCCTGTGCTGCTGCTGCTGCGGGTGCTGGCTGGGCTCAGGGCGGAGCCTGCGTCTGGAGACTGGCGGAGGGGTGGCCCAGCCAGGAGCCCAGCACCAGCAGAGTCTGGGACACAGGCTGGGGAGTCCCAGGAGCTGGCTCGGTCTTCAGCCTGGCAAGGTCGGGTCCCCAGTGTCCTTTCATTGGCTTCACTGCCTGTTCCACAGGGAGGGAGCTTTTATCAATGTAATCACAAGCAAGGATCAGATGAAACTTGTGAAGCCACACAAGAAAGGGAAAGGGGGACACGACAATGGAATTAATTAATTGTTATGGGCTCTGGATTAATTCTGAAGTTACTCATGTGACAGACCTCTTGGGAAGGAAGCCACTAGAAGAGTCATGCATACATTTACATCAATGCCTCATTTCCCGCCCTGAGCCATGGTTCTCCACTGTGGGCTCAGGGGGCTGTACTGTAAGTATCCTAAAGGGGAGAGGCCATGGCATAATATTTTTAAAAATAATAAAGCCGGCCTGGCATGGTGGCTCAGGTGCCTGTAATCCCAGCACTTTGGGAAGCCAAGGCAGGTGGATCACTTGAGGTCAGGAGTTCGAGACCAGCCTGGCCAACGTGGTGAAACCCCATCTCTACTAAAAATATAAAAATTAGCTGGGTATGGTGGAGCACGCCTGTAATGCCAGCTACTTGGGAGGCTGAGGTGGGAGGATCACTTGAACCCAGGAGGTGGGGGTTGCAGTGAGCCAAGACTGCGCCACTGCACTCCAGCCTAGGCAACAGAGGGAGATGCCATCTCACATACTACTAATAAAGCCATTTATTGAGGGCTTAGCACTTTGACAAGTGCCTTCAATGCTGTATCTCATGTAATCCTCATAACCCTGTGGGTTGTCTGGTTGTCCTGTAGGCACTGGAACCCACGGACGCCCATGGCTGCTGACTCCCCTGCTGCAATCCCACTGGTGCCATGTATCCTTGACATATATCGGAGTACACAGTGGGTGCTTAACCAATGTTTGCCCTTCTGACTCTTAAGTGGAACATGTCTAAACCCTGCAAGCAGGCCGGGCGCGGTGGCTCAAGCCTGTAATCCCAGCACTTTGGGAGGCCGAGACGGGCGGATCACGAGGTCAGGAGATCGAGACCATCCTGGCTAACACAGTGAAACCCCATCTCTACTAAAAATACAAAAACTTAGCCGGGCGAGGTGGCGGGCGCCTGTAGTCCCAGCTACTCGGGAGGCTGAGGCAGGAGAATGGCGAGAACCCAGGAGGCGGAGCTTGCAGTGAGCTGAGATCCGGCCACTGCACTCCAGCCTGGGTGACAGAGCGAGACTCCGTCTCAAAAAAAACCCTGCAAGCTCCTAACAAACTGTCTTGCCTCTTTGGCCTCTGTGCCCCCAAGCCGTGTCTTCCTGTTCTCTTTAGCTAGAGAGACTCCAGGCCTCCCTGCCTGGGGCTAGGTACAGGAGCCCCGGAGTCTATACTCAGACCCTCCTGCAGCCATGCCTGGCACACTGCATGGCCTCTGTGGCCTAACTGCTGTTATGGAAGCTGCTGCGAGTGTCCAGAGTCAGCTTCAGTGCCAAGGGCTGCTGGCTTGATCTGGGGGCTCCTGGGGTAGGTGGTGGAGGAGGAGGAGGAAGAAGGCTGATGCTCCCCATCTGTGTTATTGAATTTGCTTAAGGCAGTGGTTCTTAATGGGGGTGCTCAAGTGACATTCGGCAATATCTGGAGGCATTATTGATTATTCCACCCAGGGGTACCACCAGCTTTAGTGAGTAGAGGCCAGGGAGGCTGCTACAGTGCAAGGAGAGCGCACCACAAAGGATGGCCCGACCTGAGCGTCAGCGGTGCAGACACCGAGAAGCCCTGGCCCAGAGCAGCTCAGGGGGTCTCAGCCTTGCCATTGAGAGGTCTGGCTCCAGAGTAGCACTCTCAGAAGGTGTGTCTGAGTTGCCCAGAAGGAAACCACTGCCCTGGATTTGGAAGTATGGTGTTGTCGAGCTCAAGATAACTACCACCTGCTCCCACAAGCATGGGGGACATTCCAGCACACCCCGCAGCAGTGGCCCACGGTGAGTACTCAGTGCACTGTGCAGGGATGGACAGGCCTCTCCCCGCCGCAGTGGCCCACGGTGAGTACTCAGTGCACTGTGCAGGGATGGACAGGCCTCCCCCATGCTGTGGAGAGCTGGCAGGAGCCCAGAAAGATGCAAATGAGTGCCCAGCCCAGTGTTGACAACCCCTTTCTCAAATCCCTGAGGCCTCCCAGCAGGACTCCTGAGAGAGAGAGGGAGGTCAGGCTCCGATTCTCACCTTCCCAGCAGGGTGCACTGTCCTGATCTTACCTTAGTTTTCTGGCCGAGTCTCCCCAGGGGCACAGCCTTCCAGACACCCTGCAGCTCACAGATTCTCATGTTCCTCTCACAGGTACATCAAGCCACACCCCATGGGGATCCCAACCCACTGTCCTTTAACCTAGTAGGGGACTGGAGTGCACAAAGCCAAGACCTTTCTCTGAGTACCTCGGCCGGCAGGCAGTGACCGAGAAAGGTTGTAGTCCAGGCCATCCCCAAACCCACACCCTGTGCAGGCCACACTCACCCCACTGATGCCAGGGGAGGACCCAGGCTTGTCTTAAGGCCCTCCCAGGAGGGAGGGGAGGCTCTATGACCCATGCCCCTGTCAGCAGTCGTTTCTTAGGCCTGCCTTCCACCCTCCCAGGAGAGAGCTAAAGAACAAGTGACTGCTGTGCTTGTAAAGCCTTCATACGCCAGAGTCATGAGCCAAGAGGGCCCGGGCCAGACAGGCAGCCCCAGAGTACTCCCCACCTTCCTTCTCTGACTCATTCTCCATCATGCCTGGGGGTGTCTCACCCTCTCTCTGTCAGTCTCCTCCTCTGCCAAATGGGGAAGGAGGTTACTGTCACTATGGACAGGATGCTGGAGAGCCTGCAAGAAGTGAAAAGGTGCTCCACTCTGCCTGCCAAGAAATGTCACCACGGGAGCTCCCTTCACCTTTTCCTTTCTCACAAGAAAAATGCGCATCTGAAGCAGTCACGCATGCCACAAGTCGGCCTCCTGCTGCCCCCGGACAAGGCAAATCCGGCTTTTCCTATGGCCACACACTCGGGAACAAATAATGACAGAAATGGGAAACAACACAACTGCCACAGAGAAAAGAAGGAAAGGAAGGGAGGGAAGGAGGCGGCCAGCCACCCTCCTCAGAGGAGAGGTTACCGTGCACATTTCTGCCGCCTTAGGCGGAAGCAGTCCCGGGAGCCTCTTTGCAAGTCCTCCAAGGGGAAGGCCAGGCAGGGCCTGCGCACCTACACCCACTGCCCAGTGGACACCTGCAGACCAGGCTCCTGACTCACCTTGTTCTGTGGTGGAGGGCCTGGCTTGCTGCTGCTTGGAGGGGCCGTGGCAGCAGTGGACAGGAACATGCTTCGGAATAGCCTACGCTTCAGGCTGCTCTCCTGGGTCTTAGGGCTAGGGCTGCCTTCCCCACCTGGCCTGCCTGTGGCTGAGCCCACCAGGCAGGACTGTGGCCGGGCCTCCTCAGAGCCATGCTTGGCAGCCTTCATTCCACGCCTACCAGTGGTTGTGGGGGGTGAGGCTCCTGGTGGGGAGCTCTGCAGGCAAGCACCCAGCTGCAGACAGCGCTGTGAGGCACCCTGAAATTCGGCGGGGCCCAGGGACTGTGCCTTTGCAGCCAGCCCATTGGGCAGGACCCGTGGGCTCTGTGGCTCGGGCCACGGCATCTGCTTGTGGCCTGCTGGTGTGCCCCCGTTGCAGCTGAGGTAGAGGCCGTGGGGGTCAGTGCGCTCAGACTGGGGACTCTGGAGGTACATGTCTGGGTCGGTGGCCCAGTGCTCATCCCCCAGCAGCCCCAGGGACTGTGCCCGCCGCCGGCTGGTGGGACTGCGGCCGCGCAGGGTGTTGGAGCTGATGACCGACAACTTCTGGATGTCGTTGAGCAGCCCCGAGATGTAGCCATCCACCGGCACCGCGCTGCCCCGCACCACTGTCTGTAGGGGGAAGAGAGAAGTATGTGGGAGCCGCCTGATTGTGGCAGGGAGGGGCAGCCGGGAGATCAGGGTCAGAGAATGTCCTTGGGGGCCCTGGGGAGGACTGCCTAAAGACCTTCCCTGCTGTGTCGTCTACCCATTAAGTTTTCCATAATTGATCAGGGCCACTGTGGGTCCCACCTGTGCTGGATGCAGGGATGCGGGGAGAAGGCCCAGCATCGGCAGAGCAGATGGTGAGTGCCATGGGGCTGCATCCGGCATGCCCAGGGCTGTGGTCGGCTGGGCCAGGGAGCTGAGGCTCAGGGGGCGGGGCTCCATTCTCTAGCTCCACGGGTGGCTGGGAGAGACGTGCCCAGCCCACTGAGGAAAAGAGACCAGGCCAGGGGGCTGCTCCACACACACTGGCGTCGTGGCCTCCAAACCCTGATAGGGCCCCTGATCCCAACTTCTGCCAGGCTCTTGGGTCTACTAGTTCTGACCCTCACAACTAAAATTCTCCTGGTCTGGGAGAGCCCTCGGTCCCTATGGGGCTGCAGGTCCAAATATTGAATGGGACATGTCCTAAAAGACTATTTGTTGTCATCTGAAATATCAATGCAATTGAGCATCTTACATTTTCATGTGCTGAATCTGGCAACCCCACCACCCTGCAGAGGGGGTCTTCCCAGGCTCCTTCACCCTGGCTTACCCAGGGAGAGAATGGCAGGCTGACAGGCAGGGAGTTAAAATGGCTGGTGAATTGATAGCTGTGAAGTAGGGGGTTCCTCCAGGGGCCTTTCTGAAGTTTAGCCAGGCACGGTTGTCTGTGCACTGGGAGAGGCTGAACCTCATCCCTGCCTGCCCCTCTTACCTTCATGGGCTGGAGCTGCACCCGTGTGATTCGCGAAGGGTCCACCACGGGCTTGGGGCGCCGCAGTGTGTCCAGGATGTTCTGCCATTGTGGGGGAAGGCCCACAAACTTGCCTTCTTTGGGGTCGAAGGAGGTGTGGACACGGTGCTGGAAGTTCTGTGGGGCTGAGATCTCAGGGCGTTTCTTCTTTTTCTTGCGGAACATGGTGCCTGTAAAGGTAGAGTCAGGTCGAGCTCCTGCAGGAAAGAGGGGTGGCTGCAGCAGGGCTGGGGCACCAGGCTCAGGCTCCCTCCCCTCCCCCAGCAAAGCTCCCCTAGAAGCCTAGGGCTTCCCTCCACCTTCATCTCTGCTTCCTCAAGGAAATGGCTGGCTCCCAGCAGAACAGTCCCAGAAACAACAAAAGCGCCATAAATAAGCCAATGCAGACTATAAACAAGGAAAAGGTGTCTTCTTGTCTGTGCCAAGTCCCCTGCAAGCAGGCAGACTCGGGGCGTGTGTTTTGATAAAATCCAAAGCCCATTACAAGTATCATTCCACTGTCAACGAATTTTAAAAAGGGGGAAAGAGGGAGGAAAGTTAGCAAGCTTGTTTTATGAAACGAGTATGACCTTGATTCTTAAAACCAGATAAGGAGAGTACAAGAAAGGAAAATTTGACTCAATATCATTTAGGAACATAACTATGAAAATCTTAAACAAAACTGTCACATTGAATCCAACAGTATATTAAAGTTATTTTTTTGTTGGCTTTTTGTTTTTTTTATTACAACTCAGCTTTGTCCCAGGATGGCTGAACCTGTTAATATGATACATTAATAAAAAACCAACCAGCTGATCACAGACATGCCGCCTGGGCTGGGAGTATTATGCATCAGGGAGCCCCCAAAGGGCCTTCACGATTACCAGGTGCTTTACCTCAATTCCAGAAAGGCCTTGAGCCAAGAGGATAGCCTGGGGTGGGTGAGGAGCAGCTAACTTAGGGGTAAAGCTCTCCAGAGAAGGCAGAGAGCACCACCTCCCCTTGACACTCTTCTCTCTGGTGTTGGAGCTCTATGTAAAACATCACCTGGGCTGGGCATGGTGGCTCATGCCTGTAATCCTAGCACTCTGGGAGGCCGAGGCAGGTGGATCACCTGAGGTCAGAGTTTGAGACCAGCCTGGCCAACATGGTGAAAACCTGTCTTGACTAAAAATACAAAAAAATTAGCCGGGCCTGGTGGCATGTGCCTGTAGTCCTAGATATCCATGGGGTTGAGGGAGGAGAATTGCTTGAACCCAGGAGGCTGAGGTTGCAGTGAGCCGATGTTGCACCCCTGCACTCCAGGCTGGGCAACAGAGTGAGACTCTGTCTCAAAAATACAAACAAAACAAAAACACTTAACCTGCAATCAAGCCTGTGTCCCGTGCCTTGCTGATTCTGGCTTTGCCTAAGGTCGTGCTGAGCTCCATCCACAGATGTGACACAGGCTTGCAATGGATAGTGTGGGTAGATCTGAGAGCGGGGAACTGGGGGCCTGGGAAGGGGAAGGACACTTCCAAAGGGCTGCTCTAGTTTTGCCTTCAGGGGAGCCCGGGACCTGGGATCACATGTTGATGGCAGACAGAGTCAGGGCTGCCACCTGAATGCTTTCGGATCTGAAGAGGCTCAAAACAGCTCACTGGGTTCTTATGTATCTGAAAAGGTCACTTCCAGGCTTCAAGAAACAAACTGAAACGTGATTCTTGAACTGAATGCTTGGATTACTCGTGCACCCGAAGATCTGGAGTGCAGGGCCATCGTGTTCTCTTTCGGCTCCTCCTCTGGAAACAGCATTTTCCTAGTCATTTTGGCAGGTTCTGAAGGAGGTCGCAGACCTGGGAGGCAGCTGGCAGAAAAACAGGGACCCTGGACAGCCAGTGGTTCCCCACTAGGAATTCACCGTGCATGACTCAATCAGAACCCACGTCACATCTCAATGTCAGTCGTGCTGCTGGGTCTGAGGTTCGGGAGTCCACCAGACACTCCCTAGAGGCAGAGCTACATGGGCGGGACCCTTACAGACCAAGCACTTTGCAACAAAATAACCTGTGTGAGTTGCAGGTGAGTTGTAGGGAGTCTCCCACTAATTTGGAGAGACTTTGAACAAGTTACCGAAATGATCTGAGCCAGTGGGGTTAATGAAACACAGCTCATAGGGTTTAGGATGTGTGAAGTAAGCAGAGTCCCCATACATGATGGCTGTTTCTCTTGTGATGTCACCTCTCTTTGTATCCCTGGCTTGAAGGCCCTCCATACACTGGCACTTGGGCAGATACAAGTCTGGGAGTAACACCAAACCACTTTCTGCTTAGACTTACCAATCAAAGGGGTCATGCCTGATGTCAGGGGTCTGGGACCTGGGGACCTTGCCACATATACATCATGGCTTGGTAAAATTTGTCCTCCTCCCTTTTGGCCTTTGCCTTTTTTTTTTTTTTTTTTTTTTTCCGAGAAGGAGTCTTGCCGCCCTCTCGCCCAGACTGGAGTGTAGTGGCATCATCTGGACTCACTGCAACCTCCATCTCCCAGGTTCAGGTGATTCTCTTGCCTCAGCCTCCTGAATAACTGAGATTACAGGCACCCACCACCATACCCGGCTAATTTTTGTATTTTTAGTATAGACGGATTTCACCATGTTGGCCAGGCTGGTCTCGAACTTCTGACCTCAAATGATCCACCTGCCTTGGCCTCCCAAAGTGCTGGGATTACAGCCTTTGCCTTTTGCTACAGAAGAGTCTTTATTCAGCAGGTCTATTCCCCCAGTCTCTTGGACAGACCTGCTATCCCTGGATTAGTTGAGCTGCCTGTTGTGCCCTCCTCCCTAGCTCTGTGAAGTCTTCTGGAGGTGCAGGGACACAGACTGCAGCTGAAGAAGAGCTGGCGAATTCGCCCCCCACCACCCACCCCAGAACACCCCTCTCCCCAACTCCCCTGCCCCTCCCATGCACTCAGCTTTTGCTCTGGGGATGCACAGGGAGAGCATCTTTAGCAAATGGTCTCAGTGACTCTGGGGGCCTCTCCTGAGTCCACTCTAATAGCGAGCCATTCCGGAACAAGTTCTTCTCAGAGGCGGCAGGGAGGCTGGAGAAGAAAGGACAGCCCAGAGGCTGTCCCAGGGCCAGGAGTGGTGATGGTGAGGGTAGGAGTCGGCAGAAGCAATCAGCTGAGCTCAGGCTTTGGGGGCTAGGGAGTAGAGCTTTAGAAACCAGAGGCCATCACTTGGCTCTGGAAAATGAACCACCTAAAGGGAGGCTGCCAGGACTCATGTGAAATGTGAGGCCAACACTGCGTGGGACAACATGACTATGTAAGTAGGAAATGCGGAAGAATCTACATAAAACTGGGATTAAGGGAGTGAATTTAAAAGGTCCTTGATTCAAGGACTATATATATAAGTCAAAAAGAGATATATATATCTTTTTGAGAGGGAGTCTTGCTCTGTTGCCTAGGCTGGAGTGCAGTGATCTCGACTCACTGAGAACTCCGCCTCCCGGGTTCAAGAGATTCTCCTGCCTCAGCCTCTCGAGTAGCTGGGACTACAGGCATGCATCAACACACCCAGCTCTACTTTCTGTATTTTTAGTAGAGATGGGGTTTTACCATGTTGGCCAGGATGGTCTTGATCTCTTGACCTTGTGATCCACTCACCTGAGCCTCCCAAAGTGCTGGGATTACAGGCGTGAGCCACCGTGCCTGGCCTCAAGGTCAATATTTTAAAAAATCAACTGGATTTCTACATACCAGTAACAACATAAAATTTTTACAAAGGGCCAGGCGCAGTGGCTCATGCCTGTAATCCCAGAACTTTGGGAGACCGAGGTGGGCAGATCACTAGGTCAGGAGATCGAGACCATCCTGGCTAACACGGTGAAACCCCGTCTCTACTAAAAATACAAAACATTAGCCGGGCCTGGTGGCGGGCGCCTGTAGTCCCAGCTACTCGGGAGGCTGAGACAGGAGAATGGCGTGAACCTGGGAGGCGGAGCTTGCAGTGAGCTGAGATCATGCCACTGCACTCTAGCCTGGGTGACAGAGTGAGACTCTGTCTCAAAAAAAGAAAAAGAAAAAAAAATTTTTTTAAAAGATACCATTTTACATTAAAAATACAAAATATCTAGAATAAATCTAACAAAAAGATATACAAAGTCCTTATATTGGAAAACACAAAACATTATTAAAGATATTAAAGAATGTTCATAGATTAGAAGATTCAATACTGTAAAAATGTCAATTATTCCCAAGTTAACCTGCAGATTTACTTAAATCTCAAACAAAATCCCAGCATATTTCCTTTGGTAGAAATTGATAAACTGATTCTAAAATGTATACAGAAACATAAAGAACTAGGAATAGCCAAGACAATCTTAACAAACAAAATTGGAGGATTATACTAAATAGATACTAAGATTTATTATAAAGTTACAATAATCAATTTAGTATGGAATTGGCAAAAAGATTGACAAATAGACCAATGGAACAGAAGGGAGAATCCAAAAACAGACCCACTCTTTTGAGGTCATTTGATTAATGACAGAGGTGACCCTGCAACATGCTGGGGGATGGATGATCTTTTTAATAAATGTAGTTGAAATAATTTGATATCTGCATGGGAAAAAAAATGAATCTGGAAGAATGAGCTCATATCATACTCTGAAATTATGCAGACAGATCACAGACCTCAGTGTGAAAGGTAAAATAATAAAGCCGGTGGGAGTGATGGCGGGCAACCGTAGCCTGGCTGTCCCTTCCCTCAGGTCCAGTGTGGTCATTCCGAGGGGCCTGGTTTGGTGGGCTCTCCTGGAGCCCACAACCTGCTGGGGCCTAAACCTGTCCACACTGATACGTCCCAGACGCAAATTAAACGATCAAGGTTTTCTTTGCCCAAAGTGGAATTCTTGATGATATAGATTAGGGGTAGGGGATTTCTAAAGATTTTGCCTATGGTAATTTGTCAATGCAGTGTAAATACAGTGGCTATTTGAAGGAAATACATCAAAATATTAGTTGTCCCATTTTCCTGGTGGGGCTACAGGTGATTTCCTTCTATCATATCTTTCTACTCTTTTTCTAAGTTTTCCTTAAAGATGACGGATTGCTTCTCTTAAAAAAAAACTTTTTTTTTTTTGAGACAGAATTGTATTCTGTTGCCCAGGCTGGAGTACAGTGGTGCAATCTTGGCTCACTGCAACCTCTGCCTTCCAGGTTCAAGTGATTATCTTGCCTCAGCCTCCTGAGTAGCTGGGACTATAGGCACCCACCACCACGTCTGGCTAATTTTTGTATTTTTAGTAGAGATGAGGTTTCACCATGTTGACCAGACTGGTCTTCAACTCCTGACCTTAGGTGATCCACCCGCCTCAGCCTCCCAAACTGTTGGGATTACAGGCGTGAGCCACTGCGTCCGGCCGAAAACAAAGTATTTTAAATACAGGGAAGAGTGATCCATGGAGACTGAGTGCCTAAGAGACGCTCGCCCACCTGAATGGGACCAGTGTTGCCCTGGTCATCGTGAGTGAATCATCCAGGACAAAACATGCCCTGACTCTCCTCAGCATCAGGCCACATCCTCAGAGCACACCCACCCGGTCAGCCAGGGCCTCCACCTGCCATTTCCAGGGCTCCTTTTCCCATCCATATCTCCAAGGCCGCCAGGCTGACGGAGGCAGGTGCTGCACCAGCCATGAGGCCCCAAGGTTAAGTCAAACAGGCCATGTCAGCTGTTACCTGTCACCCCTCCAGCATCTCCATCGGCACGCAGTTCATCTAGAGGAGCAGCTTTCCTTCAAGAAGACACCAGGAGGAGGAAGGAGGAGGACTTCCCCTCAGACAGCCAGACCCTGCCATTTCTCCTGCCTAGCTTGAAAGAAGTGATGTGAGCCTAAGACCCTGAAGTGGAAACAAGCAGAGCGGGGCGGCCAGCTCGGGCCCAGCCCCAGCCCCAGCCCCTCCTGGCTGACACCTCGCCCTAACACAGGGGAGGCAGGCCACACTGAAGACTCCACCTCAGGCTGGAAATGCACCGCCGTGTGTGAGGACTGCTTTGAACTTCCCTCTTCTGGATGTCTGCAGACATCTTCCTGCTGGCTGACTCGTAACTGCATCGGGGGGATGCCCAGGGCTGGGAGGGAAGGGTCCAGCCCAAACCAGTTCAAGAAGCCCCACAGCCC